TATATTACACATAAGAAAGATATATAAGATTTATTTATTTTTATTTTAAAGGCAGAATTTTATATAGAGAAAGAGACAGAAAAAGATCTTCCATCCACTGGTTTGCCCCCCAAATGGTGGCTGCAACAGCTGGAGCTGGTTCAAAGCCAGGAGCCAGGAGCCCCTGCACCATGTAGGTGCAAGGGCCCAAGCACCTAGGGCATCTTATACTGCTTTCCCAGGCACATTAGCAGAGAGCTGAATTGGAAGTGGAGCAGCCAGGACTTGATCATGTTCATGTGAGAAGCTGGCATCCAGGCAGCACTCAGCCTTCTGCATACCCTTCACATATTTTCCATGTAAAGAACATGAAATGAGGGCCTCATATGATGGCTCTGTTTGCTAATCAAGCATTCTATTCTACCAGAACAATTTTAGTGTAATCTAAATCTACTAAACATATTAGTAGAAGGGATATAAAATTAACAAAGCATAGTTAAGTGAGCAAAATGTACTTCCTAAACCCCAATGGAACTGGGGGTATATAAAGCCATCAGGACAGGACAGTAACACTGTGACACTACAGCAGTTACTCTGGAGTCACCAAGGGAGCCAGCCGCAAGCCATGGTTGAGTCTGGCTGTATTAATCATGGTTCAGAGAGAGTGTGTTCTGAAGCAATACAAAAACCAGTGGAGGCATGGTGTCCTAGCACTTGAAGAGCTTTGGGAGGGTTTAGGAAAGGGTTGACAGCTGAGGGTACAGTGTCCTTTTTGAGGCGATGAGAATGTTCTAAAAGTGATGGTGGCAGTGGCTGCACCTATCTGTGACCGCACTGACAACAGTTAATGTAAACTTTAAAGACATGAGCTGTTTGGTGCATAAATGATCTCTTATTTAAGTGTAAATGCTCCCCCAAATCATATACAACTACATCCGGGGAACAAAGCACCTTCAAGTGAAATAAAGAATATAGGATCTATAGAAAAAGGGGAAGAGATGGTGGAGACAACATCAAGGGGCCTGAACTGTGGCACAGTGGGCTAAGCCATCACCTATAATACCAACATCTCCTATCAGAGCACACATTCAAGTCTCAGCCACTCTACTTCCATTCCAGTTCCCTTCTGAGTGTACCTGGGAGGAAAGCAGCAGATGAACCAAGTGTGCATCGATTCCTGCCACCTCCATGAGAAGCCCTGGTGGAGTCCAGGCTCCTGGCTTTGTCCTGGCCCAGCCCTGATCACTATGGTCATTTTGGGGGGCTAAGGGGAAAGAGGCGGCAGTGAACCAGTGGATGAAGTATTACTCTCACGAATGTGTCCTCTCTTTCAAATACGAAAAGTGTTAAAACAATTGGTTCCTGACACGCAAACAGGAATTGGATTATGTGTTTAGTGCTCGGTTTAGGCCCTGCCCTTCGTGGGACTGTGGGGAAAGAACAAGGAGATGAGAGTGCTGTCTTGCAAGATTTGTACAAATAATTTGTAAAAATGAACAAAACATAAAACATAAGGAAAAAAAACATTTTGGAGGAAAAACATAACACCCAAAGATATCTTCTTCCTTCATTCACCCTACCTGAATAAGATTTTCATAGTGTCAAAAACATGAGGTCCGGAAGTGCCCAGGTTGCCTGGCCTGGGGCCTTGGCCCATGTGTGAGATAGGTGTTGGGTCTCTGAGCCCTGTGGGCTGGGAGTCTAGCAGGGCCTGGGTTGCCTGGCCTGGGTCCATGATGAACCAATGTGGTAGGTGCCAGGTCCATGAGCCTCAGAGGTGGGAAGTACAGTGGTACTCGGGTTGCTTGGCCCAGGTCTTTGGTCTGCCTGTATGTGTGTGGTGGGGGGAGGCGGGTCTGAGAGCCCCAGGGGTTGGGGATTCAGCAGAGCCTGGATCACCTGATTTGGTCCTCGGCCCACCTGCATGGTGGTTACTGGGTCCATGAGCCTTGGGAACTGGAGGTCTGACAGGACCTGAGTCACCTGGCCTGAGTCCTTGGTCCACCTGCATGGTGGGGGCCGGCTCCATGAGCCCCAGGACTTGGGGTCTGGTGGAACCCATGTCACCTGGCCTGGGTCCTTGGTCTGCACGTATGGCAGGTGTCAGATCCTTGAGCCCCAGGGGTAGGGGTCTGGTGGAACCTAGGTCACCTAGTTGGGGTCCTTGGCCTGTCTGCGTGGTGAATGCCAGGCCTGTGAGCCTTGGGGACAGGGGGCCAGCAGGGCCTGGGGTCACCTGGTTAGGGTCCTTGGCCCACCTGTGAAAACTGGTCCTCCTCAGTGGAAAATATGGAATAGTGGACAGCTGGCCCAGATCCACACAGAGGATATGGCAGCCCATTGAGCCCTGCAGGGAACATCTGTACCATCCCAGAGGAAGGCAGATAGAACAAATTGGCCAACTATCCCAGTCAAATGGTGACAGCAAATACCTAGGTGAATGGAGACTCTGAGGTCAACTGTGTCAGTCAATGGACATTGAAAGGGTTTCCTCATCCTTGGATTGACGAGATCGGCAACATTTCAGAACTACCGAAACCATCTGGGCAGAACCCTTGGAGTATGTGTCACATTGGGACCCTGGCTTGATATTCATCTCTCAGCATTGGAGCAGTTGGGAAACTGAGTGTGGCTTCTCCTCCTACCCCTCCCTACACGCCCCCCAAAAAAACAAGAAGGAGAAACCGAAAATTTGCAGACAGTGGTCACACCTACTTTTCCCTAACACTTGATCCATCCCATTCTGGTCAACCATGTTAACATCATCTAAAATTAAAAATGAATTTTAAAAAACATGGCACATTGACCAAAATGTTACAGCTGTTTAGTACACTGAGAAATTGATGCTCTCACACTCTAATATCAGAATTGTCAGTTTGGTAAAAGTCTATTCTTTATGTTATATCTCAGAAATTCATGTACAACTTCATCCTTAACTTTGCATATTAACTTGCACTCAGAATTCAGCAAAAATATTAGGTTTGCATTAAATTGCACTTTAATGGCCTCAACTTTTATAGTGAGAAAAGACAGGTCTAGTTGCCAGTCTCTGTGAATTTTGCATCTCCCCATTTCTCATCCATTTCCTTTCTTTTTGGAATCCTTATCCTCAAGACCAGCTGAGAGGAACATATATCCCGTAATCCATCTGTTAGAACAGGAGCCACTTCCAGTCCTACCCTGGGTTGGATCCAAAATGAGGTGTGTAGCTATAAGGAGGAGACTCTGAGACCCTGGGAGACACCCAGGCTAGCTGCTATATTTCAGAATCATCGACCAATCACAGCAGGAGCCTCTTTCAGACTCTGTCTCTAGGGCGTGATGGCTCAGTGGCTAAATCCTCACCTGGTATGCACCAGGATCCCATACAGGTGCTGGTTCATGTCCCAGCTGCTCCACTTCCCATCCAGCTCCCTGCTTGTGGTCTGGGAAGGCAGCAGAGGATGGTCTAAAACCTTGGGACCCTGAACATACATGGAAGATCCAGAAGATGCTTCTGGCTCCTGGCTCCTGGCTTCAGCTCAGCTCTGGCCACTACAACCACTTGGAGAATGAACCAGTGGATGGAAACGCTCTGTCTTCTTCTCTCTGTAAATCTGCTTTTCCAATAAAATAAATAAATAAATAAATAAACTCTACCCCAGAACTACAGCAGTTTATTTCATGACTAAAGTCCTTTGTGTCCAAATCCTAGCCCCAGAGCGCGCCCTTTGGTTAGGCTGAACCCAAGACATCTCTACCCCTGTCTCCAACCCCAGCTTTAGTGGTGGCTGCAGCCAAGGCTGGAACGACAATCTATTCCCCGCCCCTGCAGCACACTGTTGTGTAGGTGGATAAGAAAGATGGCAGGGGCCTGGCGCAGTAGCCTAGTGGCTAAAGTCCTCGCCTTGCACGCACTGGGATCCCATAGGGGCGCCAGTTCATATCCTGGCAGCCCTGTTTCCCATCCAGCTCCCTGCTTGTGGCCTGGGAAGCAGTTGGGGCTGGCCTAAAGCTTTGGGACCCTGTACCCGCGTGGGAGACCTGAAGAGGCTCCTGGCTCCTGGTTTCAGATCAGCTCAGCTCCAGCTGTTGTGGTCATTAGGGGAGTGAATCATCAGATGGAAGCTCTTCCTCCCTGTCTCTCCTCCTCTCTGTGTATCTGACTTTCCAATAGAAATAAATAAATCTTTATTAAAAATGAGAGAAAACAAGCAAGCAAGCAAGCAAGAAAGCAAGCAAGCAAGCAATAGGTCATCGACGCTGGAGACGCAGGAGCTGGCAGCCCTCTTTCCTGAGTATCTGAGACATTCAATAATATGCAGAACTGGTGAACAGGATAACATTCCTTCCTAATGCAACACATATTTTTCCTATTATTTTTTCCCTTTTTGTCTTCCTATTTAAACAACTAGGCTGTTTTGCTCTCTTTGCCTCAGAAAAAGTATAAAAATAGATTTTTTTTCCCCCAAAAAAAGATCCTCCTTCAGCATTTGTTTTCTTAGCTCTTACAAGCAGAAAAGGCTCTTGCCCCACATTCTGATTGGGAAAGGCCTCGTAAAGGAAGTGAAACCTCCCCCCACCCAATCCACAAACAAACAAACAAACAAACAACAAACAAAAAACAAAAACCCAACCCACAGTCACGTTGGGGAATCCAAAGCCCTATTTTAAGGCTACCTTTGAAGCCCATTCATACAGTTGTCTTTAGGAGGCAAAGAAGGGAGTAGAGTTTGAGGACAGCAGTGTGGTGCAGTAGGTTAAGCCACTGATCACAACACTGTCATCCCATATCAGAGCACTGGTTCAAGTCCTGGCTGATGCATTTCTGATCCAGCTTCCTGTTAATGTGCCTGGGAGGTTACAGATGATGACTCAAGTGCAACCAAGGTGAGAGATCCTGGTCCTGACCCAGATGTTGCAACCACTTGGGGAGTGAACCAGCAAATGGAAGATACCTCCTCCCATCTCCCTCTGTGCCCGCCCCCGACCTCTGTCTCTCCCTCTCTCCATGTGGCTCTGCCTTTCAAAAAAAAAGGCATGTAAATAAAAGTTTTTATTTAAAAAAAAAAAGCAGAGTTCAAGTTTGATGGCAAAATAAATGAGGGTTCCTGCTTTGAAGTTTGAAATCAGTCAGAAAAATTTTTATTGCACTTTGGATGTTCGATTCTACAAATCTTGATCAATGTTTAATGCAACCTAAAAGCAAAATAAAACATACAAATATACTTTAATACAATTAGGCCTGTGAGAAGATTCAAAATAAACAGAGATCAGGTCATTTCTGATACGGCACTGGATGAAGTTTTTTGAGAACTTCAGGTCAATTTCAAGAACATCCAAAGAGAAGGTAACCATCTCCTAGCCTCAGGCAGCCACCATCCCAGCCTTTGTCCTCCTTCTGCGTTGTGTTCTCGGAGTTGAACATGATATGAATCCCGAAGTCATGCACTTAGTCCCCCAACTTGTGGCACATCCTGTTAAGCTGCTACCTGCAGTGCTGGCCAGCCCATATGGAATCTGGCTTGTGTCCCTGCTGCTCTGCTTCTGTTGGATCCAGCTCCCTGCTAATGTGCCTGCAAACCAGTGAAGGATGGCCAAGCCTGTGGGCCCCGGCACCGGAAAGAAGACTCATCCAGATTAGTCAGGCTTCTCTTCTCTGTCCCCTTCCCAAAGGGGAGTCCACAGGACAGGTGTTTTGTTCATTTGTATGGTCTAGCCCTAGCATCGTCCAAATCATAGCAGATACTTCGTTCTCTATGACTGTCCCTAGGACCAGCTCCACTCTCTGAGTGGCTGTTATAAATGCCACTCATTCTAGACCACATAGGTCTTTCTCTCTCCCTCTCTCTCTCCTCCCCCCTCCCAATCTCTCTCTCTCTTTCAGTTATACCAAAATAGCCTCCCTCCCACCTGGTCTCGCCATACCTCCTTCTGTCTTTCTGATCACATGATGCAATAAATTACCACCCTCTGAGCAGGAACCGGAAGGGCCTTCATGGCCTGAGCCCTGAAGCCTCCGTTCCCTTGGTGCTCATCCCTCCCTCTCTCTAGTCTTTCCTGCCCCCTTAATCCTTATACCTGCCTTGCTCAGGGCCTCCTGTCTCACCATTTCTTTCCAGTATCCTTCCAAGCCACGGTCCCTCAACCACTCCCCCTGACCCACTCAGTGGACATGAATCACCTCCCCGGCCAAGTGCACCTCCCCACCAGCACTGTCCAGGTTGGCACCTGCAGAGCTATCTCTTTTGTGCTCAGAAGCACAATGGTGTACACAATAAATCATCTTATCACTCCAGTAAGAACCACTAATTATTTGCTTCCCCTTCATCTGTCAGTCACCTATGTGTCTGGCACAGTGACAGGCACAGAGAAGACAATACGTGTTTAACTGAAAAGTAAAATTCATACTGCGGAAGCCTGCACACCCGCCTTTGGATTTTTATTCTTTCCAGGGCGCCCTCTGACGCTGAACATCATGTACCTCACAAAACTATTTTAAATCCATACTTTGAGGAGGATTTGAGTTTTCCAAAGTCTACCTTCAAGTACACAGACACAGATTGACAGATAATGATAGACCTGAGTATGCCAGTTACACATTTGCAAAAGGGCAGAATGTTAATCAGGAATATGGTCAGGAACTTAGGAATGGTTATCTTTCTATGAGGCAAAAGGCCAGTGTGCCAGCCAAGACTGTCTCATACAAGCTAGACTGTACCATAGGTAGGATCAAAACACACACACACACACACACACACACACACACACACACACCTGTCTTATTTAAAGCACGTAGACACTTACATCGGAGAGCATTGGTTCATCCAGTTCTTCCACTCTGCTCAGATTAGGGGCTCCATAGCGATCACTGATTTCAGCCAGGGTTTTGCCTGAGTCTGGCAGTGCATCCTGCAATCAAAAACCCCATTTTTACTTTTTCTTAAAAGGTTCATTTAGTTGTTTGAATGGCTGAGTTACAGTGAAAGGAAACAGAGATCTTCCACCTGCTGGTTCACTCCCCAAATGACCACCCTAGCCAGAGTTGTGCTGGCCAGAGCGAGGAGCCCTGGGATGTTTTCTGGGTCTCCCATGTGGATTCTAGGGCCCAAGCACTTGGGCCATCTTATCCTGCTTTTCCAAGTGCTTTTGCAGGAAGTTGGACGGGAAGTGAAGCAGCCATGACTCAAACTGGTGACTATATGGGACGCCAGCACTGCAGGCAGCAGTTAAATCTCTATGGCACAGTCCCAGCCCCACCCCCATTTCCTTTCTTTAAGATTGATTTTTATTGGAAAGACAGATTTACAGGAAGAAGGAAAAAAAAACAGAGAGAAATATCTTGATCTGCTGGTTCACTCTCCAAATGGCAGCAATAGCTGGAACTGAGCCAATCTGAAGTCAGGAGCCAGGAGCCAGGAGCTTCTTCACTCCTGGGTCTCACACATGGGTGCAGGATCCCAAGGCTTTGGGCCATCCTCTGTTGCTTTTCCAGGATATAAGCAGGGAGCTTGATAGGGAGTGGAGCAGGTAGGACACAAACCAGCACCTACACTGGATCTTGGCAGTTGAAGATGGAAAATTAGCCAGGTGAGCTAATGTGGTAGCCTGCCAGGTCCCATTTTTACTTTTAGATCACCTCAAAATTAATATATTACTTTCATTTCAATTTTGGTAAGAAATTTTAGTATTACAATATCAAAACTCAGCACTATCATTCCATAGAATTAACTAACACCTTTTTATGACAAGAGAATTCTAGTAACAACTGCTAGAATAAAAAATACATGCATAAACTAAAAATCTGTAAGTAATCATATAGTCAATATCTTAGGATATTCTGATTTTTAAAAATACAAACAAAAAAATTGAAGGTCTAATCTAGTCATCTCTGAGACTTTGCTTAAAAGTATATCATATTTACAAATTATTACTACAATACATATTTAGACTATCAGTTATGAAAATATTATTACTTAAAACCTTGCTGCTGACGTATCACAATTAGCATTACAAGAAATTCATTTATTTTATGTAAAATTGAATCTTTTTCTTCTTACCTCTGAGCGCAGGCTGTCTTCACCCCTAGCAATAACTTCCATTCTCATCTGTTAGTACAAACATGAAAAGAATACTTTGAATATACTTCATTTTCCTCCCATGTTTATTTTCAAGCATTTTAATTTTTATAAAAACCGAAAATAGAGCATTAACACTCTTCGAAGAGCAATCTGAGTATATTTAATCCGAAATTGCAGATCAAAGATTTATTTCTGACTCTAAGACAATTATGTTTTATATTTGATTAAATAAAACTTTTTTGAAAATGTATTTATTCATTTGAAAGACAGAGTGACATGGAAGAAGAGACAGAAACGTTCCATGCTAGCTCATTCTCCACGTGGCTGGGTTGGGGGCCTTGACCCATGCACTTCGTCCTGGTCTCCTGCGTGGATGGCACGGGGCTATGCACCTGAGCCATCTTCCTTTCCTTTGCAAGCCATCAGGAAGAAACTGGATCAGAAGCAAAGAAACCGGGACTTTGAACCAGTGCCCTGACATGGGATGCTGGGACCATAAGCTGCACCACAACACTAGCTCCCAAATAGAACATTTTAAAAGCAAATGGCCTGGGGCTGTTGCTGTGGTGTGGTGAAGTCACCTGTGCAATGCTGGCATCTGGCATGAACATTAGTCTAGCATGAGTTCTAGACTGCTCCACTTCTGATACGGCTCCCTGCTTGCACGGCAGACTCAGGTGGAGGGCTCCTGACCCCTGGTTTCAGCTCTGCCCAGTTCTGGTTATTGTGACCATTTTAGGCCATTTAAAATCTCATCCCTTCTGACTCAATTCATGCTTTTTAAAAATTGCCTTATGTTATGATGCTCTCATCTAAGCCATTAGCAAACATGTTGAAAATATTCTAAAAAAACTTGTTTCTGCTTTTGTTTACAACTGCTAGATAAATGAGGGGAGTAATATTTGATTAAGGAAAAATAAACACGTACCCAGTCATTGGTTTGGTCTATGTTGACATATATTTTTTTTGGAAATACTGGCTTAAAAAACATACTTTTTGGAAAATATTTGTCTAAAAAAACACTGGAGTCTTGATACAGTCAATAAAAATGTACAGCACTATTTATTTTACTTTTGAAATTCCCCATAAACACATTTAAATTTCAGATTCGTGTTGCTAACACATCGAACCCTACCATCTTAGAGATCACAATAACCTCAGAATTTCAAAGAATTTAACCTTCAATATCTTCAAACAAAACATTTCCAAGGCTTCAAATTACCTTCTCTAGTTGTTCCTGTGCTTTCTGTAGTTCTTCTATTCTCTGCTTCTCCTTTTCTTGCATTTCCAGCTCCAGCTGGAGTTCCATCTGTTGCTGAATCGTCAGAAACACATAAGTCATATTACTGTCAGATTAACTGCCATGAGTTCACACTCACTCTTAAATGTTCCAGGATAATTATGCTAAGCTCATTGAGATTTCAGATGCTTACAAAAATAAATGGTCACAGTCACTTAACACTTTAGCTTCTACAAGTGCTTCCTGAAGCACAGAAATCAAGGGGGCGGAAATGAAGCATCCTCAGTTGTTAACTTTGTAATCCGCAATTTGGACAAAATCAAGGCTTTGTCTTTTTTTAAATATTTATTTATCTTTATTGGAAAGGCAGATTTCCAGAGACAAGGAGAGATAGAAAGATCTTCCATCTGCTGGTCCACTCCCCAACTGACTGCAGCAGTCAGAGCTGAGCTGATCCAAAGCAAGGAGCCGGGAGTTTCTTCTGGGTTTCCCACGTGGGTGTAGGGTCTCAAGGCTTGGGGAGGGAGCTGGACGGGAAGTCGTCTCACCTGCTGAAACATGAGCTCCTCCGCCTTGAGTCTCTCCATCATTTCCTGCTCCAGCAGAGCCAGCTCTCGTTCATGCTCCAGCTCGGCCATCTCCTTCTGTCGCTAGTGTCGTGGGGTAGGGGGAGAAAGAGCATATGATTTCTCAGACCACATAATTTCGGATCAATTATTTGACACTTCCTAATTTCCTAAAAGAGAATCCATACCTACCAGTTGTTCCAAGGTTATATTTTCATTGTACTTGTAAATCCACAATGCTAAATATTCTATTGGATCCACGGGGCGAACTCTCGCCACTTCTGCAAGACCTTCAGTTAGACATGTCCCCAGATGCTTCTGGAGATACGACGACTCCATGTCTAATGTGAAAAAAAAAATGTTAAAGACATGTAAGTGTTTTGCATTAGTGCAGGAAATGTCCATTGAAGGCATAGGAACAGTCAAGCCCCGTGCAGTCAACACAGCACCTGCTCCGTCCTTAGTCATGACATGAGGGATGGCGCAAACAAGCTGGCCCCAGAAACTAACAAGACTCCAAATCCATTCCTGCACAAATGTGCTTAAAATGTACATAACATTTCTGTAATACAGAGAACCTGAAGGGCTACCTGTGGGTCCCATGCTGTTTGTCCTGTGGCGATGGTGGCAGGGCAAACATGATTTATCTCCTACAGAGGGGATTTTGTTGTATCTGCTAAATCCCATATGTGCTTACCCTTAGAGCCACCAGTCGCAGTTCCCGAGTCCACTTCTGCCTCACTTCCCATCCAGCTCCCTGCTAATGGCCTCGGAAAGCAGTAGAGGGCCACCCATGTCCTTGGGCCCTGTGCCCATGTAAAAGACCTGGAAGAACCTCCTGGCTCCTGACCAACACAGCTCTGGCCATTGAGACCATTTGGAGAGTGAAACAGCAGGTGGAAAATTCATATTCTCTCTCTAACTCTGTCTTCCAAGTAAAATAAAAAGAAATACTTAAAAAAAAAAAAAAGACAGCATACCCAGTTAAACTTGGACTTCAAATAAGCAACAGAAAACTTTCTGTTACGCAATATTTGCACTACACAGTAACTGTGAAATGCACATTTAACTGGCACGTAGAACTTTTCTGGCAACCTGGACTCTGAGGTTGGTCTCCCCAACCTCTAGTCTGCAGGAGAGGCTCTCACATGACAGGTGCCTCACAGCTCACCGCTGGGGAGGAGGTGCTAGCCAAGGACCAACCCACGGCGCCTCCAGGGTAGAAAGCAACCCTTTCGGGCCTCACAGGGAGGCCCACACGAGTCAGAAGGTCCAACCGATAGAATCACAGCCCACGAAAGCGAGACAAACTGTTTCTGGAACTGTCTTGTGCCTTTTCGCTGTGCGCACTTCACGCATGCGCCCACTTCACGCATGCGCCCACTCTACCCGCGAGTTGTGTCCCGTTGCTGTGCAACGAGCGCGCACGCTCAGTAAAGGGAGCGCGCAGACAGGTGAGCGGAGGGCGCGGGGCCTGGGCTGGGGGAGCACGCACGGAGAGGAGGGGATGCGCCCCAGAGAAGGTGGAGCGCTAGGCAGCGGGCGAGCAGAAAACATTTGCTACACCTGTCAGCGAGCAGGGCTTGGAGCAAAAGCAGTGCAACCCCTCGGCTCTTCCCGCAGGCTCTGGGAGAGAGGAAGGAGCTGCAGACTTTTGGGGTGCAACCAAGACAGGCGAGAGATTCCGGGGGCCAGGTGGGAAACTCGGGGGAGGCGGACCGCGGGAGACGGTTCTTTCGTGCAAACTTAGTGGCCGGCCAGGTTCAGGACTCGGCAGCTTCGTACGTCCTGGTGGCCTCTGATCGGTGCCTTTCAGAAGCAGCTGAGGCACCCCCACTTGGAAGGTGGTCTCAGGAGTTGGTTGACCCCATAAGTGCTACGTGGTATAGCCACACATGCATCAGAGTCCTCCGTGAGCGAGTCAGAAGATATTTGCTGAGGCCCTGATGCGTGTCCAACACAGAGAAGAGTATAAACAAAGACAGCCCCTCCTGCTGCTGTGCCACCGGGTGGTGTTACCTGTGTTGAGCGTTACGGTTTCAGATATGTATGCCGGACAGTAAGAACAGCCAGCATGTTCAAGGCCACCACGACCTCCACACAGGGTATGCTCCACAAGGACATCTGCCCACAGCTGCCTGTCTAATCATGGCCAGACACCACCCTTGCTGTTGGCCCCTGGAGCTGGGGGTTGTTGTGATCCTTTCAAAATCCTCTTCATTTTGCAGTTCCTCCTTATGCACCAGGGCTAATATCCTCCCATTTTCAATATTATTTCCAAATATACACACTGCTTCCTTAAAATCTTTTAATGCATTTTAGATGGACAAGCCCAGCATACTCATTGGCCTGTGCAATCTCCTTCAAGCTGGTTCCATTTTGGTTTTGATTTTTTTTTTTTTTTGTAAAATTTTCTTAGTTTCTGGAGCTGGTGCTGTGGCATATGGGTAAAGCTACCGCCCGAAGCACTGGCATCCCATATGGGCACTGGTTTGAGTCCTAGCAGCTTCACTTCTGATCCAGTTCCCTGTTTATGGCCTGGGAAAGCAGCAGAGGATGGCTCAAAGCGTTGGGACTCTGCACCCATGTGGGAGACCCGGAAGGAGCTCCTGGCTTCAGATTAACCTAACTACAGCTGTTGAGGTTATTTGGGGCAGTAAAGCAGCAGATGGAAGCTATCTCTCTTGTCACTTTCTCTCTCTCTCTCTCTTGCTCTGCCTTTCAAATAAATAAGGCTTTAACAAAAAAAAAAAAAAAAAAAAAGAGGATGAGGACAAGGGATTTTCTTGTTTTCAGGCATAACAAAATGTTCCAGACCTCTCAGACTTCCTGACCCAACCTTAGCACCACCTATTTTTCAAAGGTGCCCTGGTGACTTTTAACAGTAGGAGGCCATTTAAAAACAAGTTCTGGGCTCAGTGAAGTGGTAGGAAGCTAAGCCTCTTGCTAACACGCTGACATCTACTTTGTCCCAGCTACTCCACTTCCCATCCATTTCTTTGCTTGCAGCCTGGGGCAGCTGTGCAGGACGGCCCGGGTCCTTAAGTCCCTGCACCCCTGTGGGAGACCTGGTGGAAGCTCCTGTTTCCTGGCTTTGGATCAGCTTAGCTTTGGCTGTTGTGGCCACTTGGAGTGTGAATAAGCCGATGGAAGATATTCCTGTCTATCTTTCCTTCTCTCTGAACTCTGCCATAGAAATAAAAATCTTTTTATTATTGTTTAAAAAGCAAGTTCTGTGTATTTAGCGTGCGCCTTGCTACAGATATGGTTTGGCTTGTAAGCCCTTGCATTGGAGAGAACTAGGGAATGTTATTATTATTTTTTTTAATCTATACACATTTGTATCTCCGTAAACCGGGAGGAGGAAGATATGAGGAACCAAGTAAAACAACACCTCCAGAAAATGTGGAGACTGGATGTGGGCCTTTAGTATCCACTGGGATTTTTTGGAGTTACAATGTGCAAACTTGAGGAATACAAAGTCAGTTGGGCAAAGCCAGGTGCTGGGCCACTTCATGGTCTGATCTTCCACGGTTCGAGCTGATATATGAGTTATAATCGCTGAGTATGTGCCAGGCTCAGTGCCCTGTGTAGCTTTGTTATCCCTGCTGATCGGTGTGAGGTACAGACCTGTGTCATATCTGTTCTCCAGATGAGAAACCGAAGCTCAGAGAAGCAAAGGCACCTGCTGGAGATCACAAAGCTAACCCCAGCTGACCCAGGCCTGGTACTCGGTCTGATTGCAGAGTCAGCATTCCTGCTGCTAGGCATCACTGGGGCTTTGAACTTCCCATCTAAGTCAAATGGCCTCCAGGCCTTAAAATTCGATCAACAGCAAACTTGGGGTATTCGTCCACCCTGAAGCCTTTTCTTGCTTAAGCACTGCAGAGCAGCAGCCATGGTACCCAGCCTTTTCTCTCGCCCCAAAGCTGCTCATGGTTTTTTGATGATATAAGTCAGCCCATCTTTCCTATGTCATAAGTAACTCTTGCTTTCAGCCTCACAATAACACAGCTCGCTGGGTGCTCAGAGCCCCTCCCAGGGGCCTCCTACCTACTTGTGAGGGTGGCAATGTGTGGGTAAGGCACTGGAGTCATCCCCAGCCACTCATGTATGACCCCCATGACCTGTCATCTGACCAAATACACCTGGAGCGTTTCAGCAAAAACATCTCTGACTCTCTGAGCTATTGGCAAGTGTGTATTTACTGGTTCTTTAGAGAAAGGTTCAGAGATGGCTGAGATTCACCCTAAGGTAGATCTTAGTTCTTTCAAAGTCAGATTACGTGTATAAAAGAGTGTGGCTCTGTCTCGACGTTTTCCAGGCCCCCAGGATGGAAACAGACTATCTGAAGAAGTGCTTTGGAAACTGCCTAGCCCAGGCACTGGCAGAAGTGGCGACAGTTCGGCCCAGCGATCCAATAGAGTACCTGGCTCACTGGCTTTATCATTACAGGGCAATAGCTAAAGCCAAAGAAGAGGTGTGTGGGGTGTGTGTGTGTGTGCGCGCGTGTGTGGACACTTGCGTGCCCTGGGTTGGCTCCTAAAAGGCTCAGCTTTCCTAGAGTAGTTTGAAATCCAAGGCACGATGCTGCAGTTAGCCAGGGGAGTTTGTTGGGTTTTTTGGCAGCTTTTAGATATCCCCAAATGTGAGGAGGGAATCCAACACAAGAGTGTGGAGTTGGACTTGGGGTCTTAGCAGGTTCGTGCTAGGCATGGAGAGGGTGGACTGAGAAAACCTGGAGAGCCCAGAGCTGGGGTCTACCCTTGCAGGGTGTGGGGAGGGGGCCATGGCTAAGGCTTCCTTACACTGACCTGATTATACTCTGTCACCTCACCCCAGGATAGGCAGGAGACGATCCAGCTGCAGGAGGACAAGGACAGTGAGCTCAAGGCGGCCGACATCCCAGAAATGCTGGAGCGAGGAGCGCAGCAGATTCCACAGGAGAGTGGAGAGAGTCACCCGGTAGGGAGAAGAAGTCAGCAGGGGTCTTTTGAGACTTGAAAATACTAAGCTCATGTGTGTTGTGTACGCTTATACTAGCATTTATCATCATCATCAACAAATAGATTTGATTAAGGTATATATTTTCCAAATAAACCCAACCAAAAGATAAATTTATGTTATCATTTGGCAGTAGTCCAGGAGAGTTCTAGCTCAGAAAGGGGTCAGTCTTTTGGGCAGGTGACTGGGATGGGAAAAGTAAGGATCAAGAAGCAAAAGTTTCCATCCCCTCCCTAGCTCGTTCGTCCTTCCCTAGCAGCACATTTCACTGTGGATAGAAACAAATCTACAAGGCTGGGAGAGACTCCGCACATCCCATCCTTTAGTAAAGGACACTTTGGCTCACACGTGTCACTTGTCCCTTTGAGTTACACTCAGTGGGTTGTGCGTCCTCTGGCAATAATTGTTCCCAAGAAATCGAAAAGTAACAGGTCGGCCATCCGTTGGCTAACTGTGAGACAGAAGGAAGATGGGAAATGACAGCAGGCGTGATGCTAGACAACGTGCAAGTTCTCCTTCAGGACAGAGTTCATGTGCACATTGTGTTACAGAAACTGATTCCTTTTGCTAGAAGAAAATCAGAAGAACTGAACCGTGATCTAAAACAAAGCTAAATGTATGGCTCATCTGGCAAGGGAGGACTACAGTAGCCGAGTGTGAGTTATTCTCCAAGTGAAACTTGAAAAGAGCTAGGGAAATGGCAGGTGGAGGTAATCAAATAAGATTCCAAATTCTGAATTTCTGATTGATCACGGGGATTGCAAATCCTGCTCTTCTACTGGTCACCTTCAAATTTTGAATCATTATTTTTAGGAAACTTGATTTCACATTGGCCCAAATGGGTTACCTACAAGTTCAGCAAACCTGCTAGGTTTATATGCATATGCAAAGCTTTGAAAGATTTTTCCTTAATTTGTTTTTTTAAACATTTATTATTTTTATTGGTAAGTCAGATATACAGAGAGGAGGAGAGACAGAGAGGAAGATCTTCTGTCCACTGATTCACTCCCCAAATGACCGCAACGGCCAGAGCTGAGCCGAAGTGAAGCCAGGAGCTTTTTCTGGGTCTCCTACTTGGATGCAGGGTCCCAAGACATTGGGCCAACCTCCACTGCTTTTCCAGAGCACAGGCAGGGAGCTGAATAGGAAGTGGGACTGCCGGGATTAGAACTGGAGCCCATATGGGATCCTGGCGCATGCAAAGTAAGGACTTCTAGCTGCTAGGCTACCACACTGGGCCCTTCTTAATTTCTGAAAACCATCTTTGCTTCCTTGTGGCTTAGTATGTCTTTGGGTACTGCAAATTGAATGCCATTAGTCATGTATGTTAATAAGCGCATCAAAAGAATAGAAACAGGGTGTTATGTGTGATAATGGCTATATAGAATAATAAGAATCAAGAAGAGTTTTATAGGGGAGATAACATTGGCCCATGGCCTATAAGAAAGCCGATAGGGGCAGCCCTTGCATTAGTTTCTTTCCGTTGAGAAGAGGCAGTCTTGAGTAAGTAAATCGTAATTTTTTCTCTAAGTCAGAAAGTAGTTCCTATTGTTTATAAAGATCTGCGCCATACAAGTGTTTTAGAAATACATTTTTACAGAATCAATTCAAGTGTTTATCGCACAGATGCAGCCCTTGGAAGTGAGCAGGCTCGTGGGGATTGTGACTGTTTCACAGTGCTCTGTAGGGTCCATTCAGGATTCTCCTCTGGGACTTCCAGGCAAAGACAGGTGCAGGTGGTCTGTGGAGTTTATGTCCCGAGGATCCCTTCCTGAGCAGGGGGCTATAGTTATACAGATTGCGGTTTATTGATGTGTTTTCATAGCTCATAAAGTCTCCAATCATCTTTTAAAATGTTTTCTCCTCTTTCCTTCACTTTGGGTGATTTCTTCAGAGCTGCCTTCCAATTTACCGACCCTTTGTTCTACAGTGTTCAATATCCTACCAAGGGATTAAATGAATTTTTTTTTTCATTTCAGATATTGTACTTTTCCTTTCTAAAATTCCTGTCGTTTTTTTTAAATACTTTTCATGATCTCTGTTGGTATTCCCTAACTTCTACTCAATGTATCTATTGTTCTCCCTTAAGTTTTTAAAAATATAATACTCTTTTAAGGCTTTGCTAATTCTAACTGTGTTATTTGAGAATTTCTACTGAATAATTTTCTAGTGATTGTAGTTCATGTTTTCCTACTTCCTATGTCTAGTGATTATTGTTTGTATGGCAAACATTGTAGAGGATGCTTTGTGGGGAACTGAGATTCTGTTGCTTTCCTTTAAAAGCTGTCACACTCTGCTCTGGAAAGCAACTAAGTTATTGGCAAATCACTCGAGTCCAGCAGGTTGGATTTTGTCGTGGCTTCCAATGAGCCTCATTTTTGCTGTGAGGTGTGAAAGTAGTGATATCTTATTTTTGCCTTGCCTAAGTGCTTTCATCTCTACCAACAACTTTTTTAAATGCCTTTTTGTTTTCTGTTTAGGACCTGGTTTCTGCAGCTGGTCCCTCAAAGAAGGCCCTCGTCACACAGGAAGGCTCAGAGTCCCCTAAGAAGGGAGCCTCGAGTCACGGAGCCCTGCCGAGTACTTCCAGTGCGATTCCAGGCATGCCACAAGAAGTGACTTCTTCAGAGTCAGCCGGTCAGGCGGACTGGAGCCTGGAAACACCCTAAGACATAAATTACTAGGAGGTTTAGCAGCACCAGTTGCTCCAGAAATGGCTGCTGATGCCTGAAGTGCCTCTCGGATTGTCAGACATCAATAATTCTAAGGATCCTTCCCCGAGCACATCAAACCAAGAAAATGGCCAGCTAGAAGAGTTCTCACTTCAACCAAGATTGGAACAGTCTGTAAAAGTCCCTTTCTCATGCCGAGGAAACCCTGCAATCATGTGATGAATTGAAGTACTTACAGGATAAAATAAAGTCAGAATAAGAATCTAAAATAATTATGTTACCAATTTAAAAAAATTTTTTACATTTCCCCCAATTGTTTTGTTGTGGTAAAAAAAAAAAAAAACATATCTAGCCTAAAATGTACTATGTTAACTATTCTCAAGTGTGCAGCTTAATGTTGGAATTGTTGTGCAGCCAACACCAACAGTCGGCACCAATATTCTTCATCTTGGAAAAGCTGAAACTGAACACTTACCCAGTAATAAAATCCCATTATCTCCCCTCCCCCATCTGTGCAGCCTCCGCCCTACTTTCCATGTCTGTGTTTTTGACTATTGTCAGTACTGCCTATAAATGGAATCATATGCTATTTGTGGTTTCGTGACTGGCTCATCTCACTCGGCATAGCCTCAAGGTCCACGCGTGTGTCAGAATTTCCTTCTGTTTTAAGGTTAAATCGTCTTGTACCAAGGTCAGCATTGTGGCACATTGGGTTAAGCTGCCATCTGTGATGCTGATACTCCTTATCAGAGTACCAGTGGCTCCTCTGCATCCCATCCAGCTCCCTGTTAACGTGCCTGCATCACTCTCAGGTGGGCAGAGGACCTCAGGTGCGCTTATTCCCTACACCCTGGGTTGGAGGTTTCTGTCGCTGTATATTCACATCAGCCACATGCAGTGTATTGTCTTGGCTGAGATGATATTATCTCTCCGAACTCTGCATATTTTTGCTCCTTGGAATGTTCCACCCAATTCTCTAGGCATTTTTGTCATCTGACTTTTCCCAGAAGGTTAGTGTTAAGGGAGCTGTGTTTTCTGGTTGACCCTAGCCTGCCTATAAGGTTCCACATCTGGTGTCCAGATGTAGGCAGACTGCTAGGCTCTGCTCCCAGGTTTAGCTGAATGAGCCGCGGCTGGTGATTTGGCAGAGGCTAGGCTCGAATCCACCTCAACCTTGGAGAAGCATCTTTCCGCTGAGATCATGGGATGCTTGAGATCATGGGCGATGGCTTGGAGGATGCCTAGACTGTCATCACTGAACAGCAGTTCTGAGCAAAAGATGAGAGAGACAGCTATCAAAAGACAGAACACCTCCTCCTTGCTCTAACTTGCTTCATTTCAATATAACATAGATCCAAGTGGTGTTTGTTTGTTTGTTTGAGGAGCACTAAGTGTAACCCCCTGCCTCATTTCCAACTAGCAAAAGTTTAATCTACAGAGACAATCCAGCAAATGCTTATAGTTAGACCAAATTCTGGTTTATAACAACACAAGAATATGAAGAACCTAGGTGTTTACAAACTGAGAAATAATGTACCCAGGTTACAAAAAGGAAGGCAGTTACAAAAATGGGGGGGGGGGGGGAAGGAAAGAAATTAAGTTGGGCTGGTCCCATACCATAGTAAGATAAACTGCTGCCTGTGGTGCTGGCGTCCAATATGGGTGCTGGCTTGAGCCTTGGCTGCTCCACTTCTGATCTAGTTCCCTGTTTATGACTTGGAAGAGCGGCAGAGGATGGCTCAAGTGCTTGGGCCCCTATAACCACACAGGAGACCTGAAAGAAACTTCTGGCTTCAGACTTACTCAGTTCTGGTCGTTGTGGCAATTTGGAGAATGAAGCAGTGGATGGAAGCCTCTATGTCTCTCCCTCGCTCTCTAACTCTGCTTTTTAAGTAAAAAAAAAAAAAAAGTTAACACAGAGATAATGATTTTGAATGAGCTTCAACATAAATTACTAAGCCCCAGAGAGGTTGGGCTTCCCAAAATGTATATGGAAAGTAAACAGACTCACAGTAGTTAATCAAGACAAAATATGAAAAGCTCACACTTCCCAATTTCAAACCTATTCTGAAAGTTATGATAATCTAGACACTGTGGTTCTAGTAATAGGGTAATAATTAATATAGATCCATGGAATGCAATTAGAAGTTCTGAAATAAACCCATACATTTATAACCAGTTGACTTCCAACAAACATTTCAAGACAATTCAATGGGAAAAAAAATAGTTTTCAGTAGTACTAGAAAATTCAGATAACTACATACTGCAAATAATGGAGAATTTACCTCTACTAAACACTACACACTAAAAGTAACGCAAAATAGACCAGAGACCTCAGTGTAAGATATAAAAGTGGTAGAAGATAAGATAGGTCTAAATCTTTGTGATTCTGGATTGAACAACAGTTTCTTAGCTAAGGCACAGAAGCACAAGAAAAATAGGTAAACTGGTCTTCATAATATAAAAATTCGTACTCCAGGGCCCATGCAATGGCCCAGTAACTGAATCCTTGCCTTGCACGTGCCAGAATTCCATTTGGTCACTGGTTCCCAGATGCTCCACTTCCCATCCAGCTCCCTGTTTGTGGCCTAAGAGGGCAGCAGAGGATGGCCCAAAGCCTTGGGACCCACATGGGAGGCCTGGAGGACACTTCTGGCTCCTAATTTCAGATCAGCTCAGCTTATGTTGTTGTGGCTGCTTCTGGAGTGAACCAGCAGATGGAAGATCCTTTTCTCTGTGTTTCCTTCTCTCTGTAAATCTGCCTTTCCTATAAAAATAAATAAATCTTTAAAAAATTGTACTCTAAACATAATCAAGAAAGATAGCCCATAAAATGAGATAAATTACTTGTAAACATAGAGCCAACACAAATTAATATCCAGAATATATCTGAAAAACTCACAGCAATAAAAAGACACCTCAGGGCATGGCGCAGTAGCCTAATGGCCAAAGTCCTCACCTCGCATGCACTGGGATTCCATATGGGTGCCAGTTCTAATCCCGGCAGCCCTGTTTCCCATCCAGCTCCCTGTGTGTGGCCTGGCAAAGCAGTCGAGGATGGCTCAAAGCCTTGGGACCCTGCACATATGTGGGAGACCCAGAGGAGATTCCTGGCTTCTGGCTTTGCATTGGTGCAGCTCCGGCCTCCTCTCTGTCTATCTGACTTTCCAATAAAAGTAAATAAATCTTTTTAAAAATTTAAAAATACACCTCAGGGGCCCAGTGGCATTGTCTAGCTGCTAGGGTCCTCGCCTTGAACACGCAAGGATCCCATATGGGCACCTGTTCTAGTCCCGGCAGCCCCACTTCCCATCCAGCTCCCTGCCTGTGGCCTGGCAAAGCAGTCGAGGATGGCCCAGAGCTTTGGGACCCTGTACCCATGTGGGATACCCGAAGAAGTTCCTGGATCCTGGCTTTGGATCGGCATAGCATCGGCCGTTGCACTCACTGGGGGAGTGAATCATGGGACGGAGGATCTTTCTCTCTGTCTCTCCTCCTCTCTGTGTATCTGACTTTCCAATAAATAAATAAATCTTTAAAACAATTTGGCAATACCTGAAAATGTAGTTAGCACATGACCCAGCAATTTCATGCCTAGTTCCTATCTGAAAGAACTGAAAATATACATCCTCACAGAAACTCACCCACAAATCTTCAGTGACATTTTTTTGGTAATAGCTAAATGGTGGAAACAATTCAACTATCCATCAAGAGATGAGCGGCTAAGCAAAATGTGGACTATCCAAAAAAGAGAATATTGACCAATGATTCAAAAAACAAGCGCTGGCTCATGGTACATCAGGCATAACCTTAAAAACATGATACTGAGTGCAAGAAGCACAAAAGACCACCTGTTGCATGATTCCATTTTGTAAAATATGCAGGTGATACAAGTCCATAGAGGTGGAATGTGGATCCCTGGCTGCCAAAAGCAGGCAAAAGGAGGACTTGGGAGTGACTGCTGATAAGCATGGGCTTTCTTCTCATGGTGACGGTGACAAAAACGTCCTGGAATCACATAATTAGATGATGGTGATAGTTGGACAACCTTGTGAATATGGAAAAAAAAAAAAAGAAGCTGAACTTCAAAGGAAGATTTACAGAAAGGAGGAGAAAAACAGACTTTTCATCTGCTGGCTCATGCCCCAAAAGGCCACAATGGCTGGCAGGGTCCAAAGCCAAGAGCCAGGAGCTTCTTCTAGGTCTTTCACATGGATACAAGGGCCCAAAGACCTGAGTTATCTTCCAGAATCTTGCTGCCTCACTTTTTACTGAAAGCCCAAAGTTGAATGCTTATATTCCTTGGTTTCTTATTTGGTATAGCCTCACATTCTATTGGACAGTTCATTTTTATAAAATGATTTATTGAGTACACCCATGTGTGCCGCTAGGACAGCTATACAACTTGTAGGGCCCAATGCAACATAAGCACATATAGCCCTTTGTTCAAAAGTAATGGAGAATTTCAGAAGGTAACAACCAAGGTTTCCAGTGGGGCTGGCTTTACCCAGACACTGAAAACTGCACAGTAAATTGGCCAACTTCACCCATCTTCTATAGGGTAATGCTTATAGTCACAGAACATGTACCATAATAAAGACTTATTTCATTTTATTTTTATTGGAAAGTCAGATTTACAGAGATAAAGAGGAAGAGAAAGAGACAGCTTCCATCTGCTGGTTCATGCTTCAAATCTCTGCAACAGCTGGAGCTGAGCCAATCTGATGCCAGAAGTCAGGACTTTGTTCCAGATCTCCCACGTGGGTGCAGGAGTCCAAAGACTTGAACCATTTTCTGCTGATTTCCCAGGCACATTGGGAAATCCCAGGCTGGATTGGGAAGTGGTGCCATTTGGATCCTGGTATCGCAAGCAGGGGCTTAACTTGTTAAGCCATGGCACTGGCCCCTAATGCCTGCTTATGAAGTGACTAAAATCATAGCTGTTCCCAAAGAGCTGGAGTCTACCAACACAGCTTCCTCTGAAGGGTGCCTAACATCAGATATTCCACATTCCTCTAATGCGATTATGGGCCTTCCAGCTCTAACCACTCAAATTCATCCTTCACATATAAGGAAAGAGACATAGCTAAAAAATATTACCTCAATTTTTAGTAACTTATGTTGGATATTAAATAATTGCTTAATTGCATTATCTCCTTTAATTCTACAATCCCCATATTAGCAATAAAGACACAACTAGCACTATGAGGGGTTAATGATTGGGCCAAGTTCACATGACCAAGTGGTGGCAATGCGGTCTCT